TCACCTTCCTCTCTCCTCCCAAACGTCCCACCTCCTCTCCTCCCTACACAGTTTCCCTCCCCTGGGGTCAGTTAATCCTCCCCACCCTGGCAGATGGCCGCTGAACCCCGAGACCAGCTGCCCCCTCACTCCCAGACTCTGGTCTGTCCTGTCCAACCCCCAGCCCCATGAGCTCCACTCCTTCCCTTTGGTGGAGTTCAGGTTCCTTAATGCACCCTCTTTTTGCATTTGTGAACACAGAGCCACTGGTCACGTTTTTTTTTCACTGTGTAACCTAAAGTCCAAAACCCCTGCAGGACCTGCTTACCTGCAAACCCAGGATTTAGGAGGGTATTTGGTGTCCTGCAAATATTTTGTAATCTAGTAAGCAACCTACAAACCAGAGGATGTTGTGCATTCTAACTGTTTCTATTGAGCTTATTGAGCTTTGGAACAGTTGTACACAATTGTACGTAATTGCATGTGATGCAGGAAGAGATGATAAGGCAGTGGTCATGTTACAGAAGCGCCGAGGTTATTGGCTTAATGAAGCCAGACTTGGGCTGGTTTCCTGTGGGGATTGTACCAGGAGGGATTTAGAAGGATCACTTTAAGTCTGAATCTTAGCTTAAGAAATCAAAAGCAAACACAGTCTCACAAGGCTTGAAGACAGTTGCTAGTTTGCCACTGTTGACTAAATATTCTGCTGGACCACTGTTAGAACTGCCTGCGAGCGGTTGGTGCCCGGCAATGCAGAGGGGGCTGCAGTGACACCCCCAGGCCACGAGGGGGCCGTGGGCAAGCTGTGGGCCAGGGTCTCTTCCCTAGAAATGAGACGGTGCTCTCCCCTCCCCATGGACTCAGAGGAAAGAAAGGGCTGCTTCTGTCTGGACTTCTTGGTTTGCTGCAGGTCGGCCTGATTTACAGGGAGAGCAGGCAGCAAGGATCAGGACCTGCCCTGTCAATGGAGAGCTTAGCCAGACGGCCAGACTGCCCCCTTCTCCTTGTCTGAACTACCCTCCCTTCCAGCGCCCACCTCTCTTCCACTTCTTATCTCTGCCGTTACTGTTTGGACACTTAACTAGCAATCATAGGACATTTTGTGAAGTTACAAGGAAGCCGCAAGGAAGCCGAGTGCCTGGTGTGTATGAGTGCGTGCATGTTTGTGTGCTCTCAGTTCAAAATTTCTATTGAAATCTCAGGTTGATTGAAAGCTGGAACTTGGAGTAGCTAAGTAAGGGGCGTTCATTTCTCCCTTTCTTGTTAAGGAACTATGCTGTTGAATACTCACCTGGACCACCCATAGCTTTTTCTCCTTTTTCTCAAAGCTGTTTCTGAGCACAGCAGCTCTTTTTGCCCCCCTCAACCTCCTAGGAGAGCAGTGACCCCCAGTGAAATTACGTATAAACTGCATGCATGCAGTTTTTTCTGGGGCGTCCAGAGCTGCCATCAGATTTTCAAACGGATCTCCCAAAGGATTAAGAATTAACTACTGTCCTCCTCAGAAGAGATGCTCTCTGTATTTGCATTTAGATGGTGGCCCATTTCCGATGCCTGGGGCTGAGAGTCATGGCTGGTAGGGCAGGCTGGCTAGTTGGGAGCTTGATTCTCCCTCTCTGTGTAAGACACCTTCTTTTTCTAGCAGAGGCCGGGGTGATGCTTTCTGGAGTGGCTGGAGGGCGGTAAGAGGGGTGAGGATTCTGTGCTTTGCAGGTGGGTATAAAATAACATGATAGGAGGAGGTCTAAGTTGGTGGCCAGATGTCTGGATCTTTCTAGCTGGCGTCTTCTTGCACCCCTGGTACTAGCTGGAGGCATTCTGCATATACTTGGAGTTGGTGTTCCACTAGCCCTCTCTTACTAATCTTGAAGACCTTAAGCTCCTCAGAATGAAGAGGGGTGGTTTCTGTTGTTTTGAAACGTATTGTCTCTTCAGGCTTCCTGCCATTGACCCCACTCCCACTAAAATCTGAAAGATGTGGAGTGGGTTTTGGTTTAGTTGTTCATGCAGTTACCATTCCTGCTGTCCCACTCCAAGAGGAACGCATAGATGATTGCTGGAGAACGTCTTTATTTCCTTCTCATTTAAATTCTTTCTGCGTCATGCCCAGGGGTAGATCATTTTAGAAAGGTGTCTGTTTTCACAAAAGGGACTGTTGCTTTCCTCTCTGGTTTGTTTATTTCCAGACATGAATTGATTAAATCTAAGGAACGGGGGGAGCCGGCATCAGATAAAAAGAGCCCTGTTCTTATAAGATTTTAAAGTGAAAGTAAATATCAGGAGAGAGCCAGAGAGGGTGGTAAAGGAGCCTGAATGAAAACTGGACATTTGGGCTCTAGATCAACAACATACATTCATGAGCATCCTGAGAGATGGACATGGTCACCAGGTCTGTGTTGATAAGATGGTTGAGGCTGCAGGCTCTGGGCATATATATGTCAGGAAACACGCTGTCACTATAACCAACTGTTTTTCCTTACTTTCCAATTTTGGAACCTTGACCAAAGCAATGTGGTGGAGAGAGGAGACCCAGAGCACATGAGTTGGAGTTTCAGCTCACTCCCAACTGTCTGACTTTGAGCAAGCCACCTCTCCTTCCTGGACCTTCCTGTAAAATGGGGTGAGGGAGAGGAGAATAAGCTGGTTATAGACCCTCTTGCTTCTGACTCTGGCCCCTAAGGGAACTGCCAGTCTGGTCAGGGACACTATAGCAGTTGGGCTTTCTGAATTCTGTTTTGAGATATCTTAGTACTGGAAATATCAGGGACAATATCAGGGACAACAGTGTGGTGGTAGTGGTGGTGTTGATGCGGTCATGATATTCACTTCTGTGTCTCTAGCACCTAGCCAAGAGGAACTATTCAGACAGTTGATGAAGTTAATTATTCCCACCATCCTCAGCTTGGGATCGTGAAGAGTAAAGGTGTTCGCTAGAATGTAAAGGGGTTCAGATCTGAGGATAATCTGAAGTGGGGGATGCCATTCATAGGTGGGTTTCTTGTGGATTCAAGTTCAAACAGACTTGTCTCACACGTGGGAATGTACAACTTTTCAGGGTTATAGCTCAGTGGAAGATTTCAGACTGCCCTGGGTTCTCCCATGATGCTTTGTTGTGTTTTTGTTGTTGTTGTTGTTTTAAACGGAGTCTTGCTCTGTTGCCCAGGCTGGAATGCAGTCGTGTAGTCTTGGCTCACTGCAACCTCCACCTCCTGGATTCCAGGTTCAGGTGATTCTCATGTCTCAGCCTCCCACATAACTGGGATTACGGGTGCCCCACCACGCCTGGCTAATTTTTGTATTTTTAGTACAGACAGGGTTTCACTATGTTGGCCAGGCTGGTCTCGATCTCCTGACCTCAGGTGATCCACCCGCCTTAGCCTCCCAAAGTGCTGAGATTATAGGCATGAGCCACTGCGCCTGGCCAGTGCTTGGTTGTTGATTTGGGGAACTTCAGTTCCTTCCAATGAAGGGGGTTTTTTTGTAAAAGGGTATTAGGCTGGCTGGGCCACTGAGAACATGGTACTGGAGTTGGGACTTCCCCTTGGCCATATGGTGCTTTCAAACAAACCACAAAGGGCCCCTTCCTCTGGATAGATGCAGCACTAGCACCATTCCAGAGTGCAGGGCTGGGTGAGGAGAATGTGGATTCAGTTTCCCCACCTTCCTTGTGCTGTTGGCTCATTGCTCTTATAAACTACTATATGTAGCCGTTCTGTTAAGATTCCAAGCTGGGTTCAAGTCCCAGCTGTTCCGTCAGCTGGAATTTGTGATTGGAAATTCCTGTTTATTACCGGGCCTCAGCCTTCATGGTAAAACCAAGAGGCTGGCATTTAGGGGACACTTCTGTCTCCTCCACTTCCACCTCTTTACTGTTTGACATTTAGTTGGAACTCAGATACTTTAATGAATGGCTACATTAAAGATCTATAAACTAACAGGTAAGGTTGCTAGTGGCCGAGGCTGGGTCTTCTCCCTCAGGGTACCTGGAATTCGAAGGAGCCTCAAAGTAAGAGCTATAGTCAGAATTAGGGGCTTAGCAGCTCAGTGACTCAAGAGGCCTTTTAGAAGTTGCGATAATTTCCAAGGGCAAGTCTGACTTGTGGGAGTGGAGGCGGCACTCATGAGTAAAATCTCTCGTGCCTGCATTGGAGGGTGCCCGTGACTTGGCAGGGAGCGCCCAGCTCTTGCCCTCTGTGCCTGCTGTGTTCAGCCGCCAGGGTATTGCAGGTTATGATACGTGATAGCATCTGAATAAGTCATCTTGGCAAATGATCTTTGTTCCCCATTAACAGGCTGGTTCGTTAGTCATGTGTGGTTTTTTTTCGGTGGTTTCTCTGTATATCTGATTTATCGTCGCTAGTGCCAGGGACAGATAGGAAAATTAAAAGACTTTGTAGCATGTGAACCTGAGCCCATGAGATGTTCAGGATAATTAATATTAGGAACAGCTCAGATTTAAATAGCTTTCCTTCGAAGAACTCTGTTTGAGTTGCAAATCCATTCAAGATCCTTTCCCTCCTCCCTTGTCCTTCAGTCTCTTCTGTTTCCCTCTTGTCCTTCTCTACAGTACGTTTATCATAGGTGGAGACTGGCCTGTAATCACTGGACAGGCCCCTTGGAAGACCCTTACCTCCTCAAAATTAAAAGGCTTTGTAGCATGTGAATCTGAGCCCATGAGATGTTCAGGATAATATCTCCTCCGGTTCCTCTGAGCGCTGCAGTTGAGTAAAGGTTAGCACTTGTTCCTACCAGGTGTACAACTTAACTCCCACATGTGGGCTGGGTTTCTGCTTTCATTTCCAGCTGTACTATTTAAGGGAATTAGGCATTCAAGGAGCAGTTGGTTCTCAGGCCCCATATTCTTAACTCCGTCGTTAGTGTTAGGGCTAGAAACAAATAGAATGACAATTTTTAAAAGTCAGCTGCCTATTTCACAGTACAGTTAGCAGGGGGGTAAGAATATAGATAGATTCCCCTGTGGTTTTCACAGTGACTGATTTACATCCGAGTTCAAGAAATGCTTTTTTTTTTTTTTTGCATTAATTATTTTTATTTACAGAAACAGTTATTTACATTTAACTCAGTTTCATGGCAAGTTCTTTAGCCTTTGCCTTTTCTAGCTTGGTGATGCGAGCCACAGACTTGGGACCCAGGACATTGCCTCCCCAGTGACGCCGGATCTCATCACATCTGTCATTGCAGTTGGTGCGGATAGCTTCCACCAGCTTAGCCAAAGCACCTTTGTCTTCTGAGTTAACGTGTGTGAAGGCGACAGTGGTGCAGGTCTTTCTATGAACTAGATGTCCCAGTCTTGCCTTCCCCTTGATGATGCAGTAAGGGACTCTCATTTTACGACAGAGGGCAGGCAAGAAGACAACCAGCTCAATGGGATCCACGTCGTGTGCAATCACCACCAGCTGAGCTTTCTTGTTCTCCACCAAGGTGGTGACGCTGTTAACTCCTGCTCGGAGGACAGGTGGTCTCTTAGTGGGGACGTCCCCTTTGCCAGCCGCTTTTTTCTTGGCCCGGGCCAACAGCCTCTGCTTCTTCTCTTGCTTCGTCTCTGGTATATACTTGTGGGCCAGCTTAAGCAGCTGAGTAGCTGTTTGGCGGTCCAGGGCTTGTGTGAACTGGTTAATTGCAGGGGGCACTTTCAGCCGCTTATAGAGGATGGCTCTCTGCCGCTGCAACCTGATAGAGCGGGGCCATTTCACAAAGCGGGTGAGGTCTCTTTTGGGCTGGATGTCTTGTCCAATGCCAAAATGTTTAGGCCTTTTCTCAAATAGTGGATTCACCACTTTCTTGGCCTCCTGCTTCTTCACGACAGCAGGAGCTGGAGCCACCTTCTTCCCCTTGGCCTTCTTTCCTTTCGGCATCTTGAGCGGTGGGAAGAGAAAGACAAGAAATGCTTTTTCTATAGCTTTCCCGGAAGACGGATCCATTACTCCACTAAATATAAATATTGTGATATATATCAGGCGTACTTTGCTCAAAGGGACTTACATCTTTTCTCTTATTGAAAAAAATAAATCAGGCTTGCAGATTGTAAAGCCCCCAAGCAGGAAAGCTGCTTGGTAATACAGGTGAGCACCCAGCCTTGTGGATACTGACTCTGGCTTGGAGAAGAAACCTCTCTTTGCATCCTAAGTTGAACCTGTGTTACCGGGAAGTGTTGGGAGCTTTAGGCTCTCCCTGCCTTGCTTTCATTGGCAAAATTGGGAAGAGCTTCCCCAGGGAATGATGGACGTATGATAGTTGCCTCAGGCAAGCTCATGGATTTATTATTACATTAATTGAAAATAGGGGCCATGCATGGAGCAGGGACAAGTGTCATGAGCTAAGGATTATTATCATTCCAGTTCTGTGTACCTGTAGTCCAAAAAGACCAGGCTCATTCAAACAAATAAGCCCTAGTTCTTGATTCCCTACTATTCCTGAGCCAAGCAAGGCCTTTATGCACAAGCGTTTGCGTAATTTGGGGAAAAGAAGCAACAAATGTTCTTGGCTCTGTATTTCCATGCAGATGATGGTAAGAAGCCAAATTGGAGATTCCTTAAAGAATTCCAAGGACTCAGGGACCTTAGCCCCCTCCCTCTTCCTCCTCACTCCCGCTTCACTCTAGGGGCCGGTCAGTAACTAGACAGCAGGGTTTTGGGCGTCGTAAGTATAGAGTTGATGCAGCTAAGATTGCTGTTAAGTCAGACCTGGTTTGGTGTCTCCACTCACAAAGAGAACGGAAGCCACAGAGACCACAACCTCAGTGTGGGGCTTAACTGCAGGTGTTTCCTCCCCTGGAAGGCTGTTCTCTAAGATTTGGTTGAGAGCTCCCCACACTTGGCAGGCAGGTGGTCGGAACAGTTCTTACTCACACGGGGGTCTGAATTTCTTAACTCGGAATCTTCTTTAATTAAAGGCTAAAACCAGGGCAATTGCCCATCTGTTTTAGTGCAGTACCTTTAGTGGTAACTTTTACAGAAGAAACTTTGACATATTGATTAATGCCTGCCTTGATAGATGATCAATAGTTGTGTTTTTATCTGGCATCTTCTGGGAGTCAGCTGCTCTCAAGGTGAATCTTCTGGGCAAGCAGTTGTCACTAAATAGCAACCATTTTCAGTGGCCAAATAATAGGAAGTTTTTCTCCCCTCTGCCGTCTTAAGTATCATGCTAAACACAAAATCATTCTTGATGGCTTTGTGATTGCCATAAAATCCACTGTGCAATGCAGCGATGTCCTGTTGGGGCTGATGGGTTGTATCACCAAGACCGTTTGCTTCCCAATGTTTGTACTTTGTGATCTCGTCTTACTTTTTTTAACACAACAACCTTGTGTTGTAGCTATTATTTATTTAAGTATAATTTATTAATACATATAGTGAAATGCACAGACGTTAGATATACAGTTTGCTGTATTTTAAGAAATGCAGAAAACCATGTAGGCCACAGTCCTGTCATATACAGAACATTTCCATCATCTCAGAAAGGGCCTCTGCTCCTTACCAGGTGATTCCCCCATCATCAACCTCTCATCCAGCCCCAATCACATCTTGATTTCTATCAGCCGAGATTAGTTTTGCCTGTTCTAGAACTTCAGCTAGATGGAGTAGTAAGCCAGGTGCAGTGGCTAATGCGTGTAATCCCAGCACTTTGGGAGGCCGAAGTGGGAGGATCAGATGAAGCTAGAAGTTCAAGACCAGTCTGGGCAACATAGCAAGATCCTGTCTCTATTTAAAAAAAAAAAACAAACAAAAAACGAGACATGAGGTATACACCTGTGTTCCAAGCTACTTAGGAGGCTGAGGTGGGTCGATTCATTGAGTGCAGGAGTCTGAAGCTGCAATGAGTTTTGATCAGGCTTTCTAGCCTGGGTGACAGAGCAAGACCCTGTCTCAAAAAAAAAAAAAAAAAAATAGGCCAGGCACAGTGGCTCATGCCTGTGATCGCAGCACTTTGGGAGACTGAGGCAGGCAGATTATGAGGTCAGGAGATTGAGGCAATCCTGGCTAACATGGTGAAACCCCATCTCTACTAAAAATAAAAAAAATAAAAATAGCCAGGCCTGGTGGCATGTGCCTGTAGTCCCAGCTACTTCAGAGGCTGAGGCGGAGGAATCTCTTGAACTCAGGAGGTGGAGGTTGTGGTGAGCCGAGATCATGGCCACTGCACTCCAGCCTGGGTGACAGAGTGAGACTCCTCGAAAAACAAACAAACAAACAAAAATAAAGAAAAAAGAAGTGGAATAGTATAGTACATGCTCTGTGGACAAGGGGACAAGGCTTCTTTCACTGAAGACAGTTTTTTGAAATTGATCCATATTGTGCGTTTCAGTACTTCATTCCATTTTATTGTTGAGATGTGTTCCTTTGTGTGATTATACCCCAATTTGTTTATTCATTCAACTGTCGGTCTTTTGGGTTGTGCTGGCTATTGCAGATAAAGCTGCTTTAAGCATTTTATGTACAAGTCTGTGTGTGGGCATATGTTTTCATTTCTTTTGTTTAACTGGGAGTGGAATTACTGGCCCATAGAGCAGATGTATAATTGGCTTTCTAAGAAACTGGAAGCACTTTCCCCAAGTAGTTAGACCATTTTATACTCTACCAGCAATATGTGAGAGTTCTGTATCCTTATCAACACTTGTTATTGTCAACCTTTTTAGGCTTAGCTATTCTAGATGATGTGTAGTGATATTTTGTTGTGACTTTAATGTTTCCCTGGTCACTGTTGGTATTGAATGTCCTTTCATGTGTTTATTTGCTGTTTCTATATCTCTCTTACAAAGGTCTGTTTAAAACTTTTTTTCCTTTTTAATGTCAAAAACTCTTCTGTTTACTGTCTTATTGAATTGCAATAATTCTTTGTATATTCTAGATACGAGTTCTTTATCAGATATATGTATTATAAATGTTTGTTCCCAGTCTGTGGTTTGTCTTTTCATTTTCTTAATAGTGTCACTCAAAGAGTAGAAGTTTTCATTTTTATAATTTCCAGTGTATCAGTATTTTCCTTTTGATGAGTGCGTTCTGTATCTAGTTTAAAAAAAACTTTGCCTACCCCAGGTCATGAATAATTTTTAATTCCAGAAGGTTGATCATTTCAGTTTTTACATTTAGGTCTTACATTGACTTCAAGTTCATTTTTGTATGTGATGTAAGCTAGGAGTTAAAGTTCTCTATTTTCCATTTAGAGGTCCAGTTGTTTAGCACTATTTGTTGAAAAAAACTTTCCCTGCTGAAGTGCTTTGATGCCTTCGTTGAACTAATTGACTATGTATATGTGGTTTTGTTTCTGGACTCTTCCACTCTAGTGATTTATCTTTTATGTCAATCCATGCTCTCTCTCTCTCTTTTTTTTTGAGACAAAAGTCTCGCTTTGTTGTCCAGGCTAGAGTGCGGTGGCGCAATCTCTGCTCACTCCACCTCCCAGATTCAAGTGATCTTCTTGTCTCAGCCTCCCAAGTAGCTGGGACTACAGGCATGTGCCACTATGCCTGGCAATTTTTTGTATTTTTAGTAGAGATGGGGTTTTGCCATGTTGGCCAGGCTGGTCTCCAACTCCTGACCTCAAGGGATTTGCTGGCCTCGGCCTCCCAAAGTGCTGGGATTACAAGCGTGAGCTACCATGCCCAGCCAATCCATGCTTTCTTTATGCTATAGCCTCATAGTAAGTCTTGAAAACAGGTAGTGTGATTGCTCTATCTTTGATCTTCTTTTCAAAATTGCTTTGGCCATTGTAGTTTCTTTGCATGTCTGCATACATTTGAGAACAAATTTGTTACTTTCCTTGAAAAATCTTGCTGGGAAGCTGGGCATTGTGGCTCACGCCTATAATCCCAGCACTTTGGGAGGCCAAGATGGATGGATCAATTGAGCCCAGGAGTTCCAGACAAGCTTGGGCAACATGGCAAAACCCAATCTCTAAAGACAAAAAAAAAATTAACCGGGTATGGTAGTGTGCACCTGTAGTTCCTGCTACTGGAAAGGCTAAGAGGTGGAAGGAGTGGTTGAGCCTGGGAAGTTGAGACTTCAGGGAGTCATGATTGCAACAACGCACTCCAGCCTGGGCAGTGCGGTCTCAAAGTGAGACACTGTCTCAAACAAATTTTTTATTTTTTTTTTGCTGGGATTTTGACTGAGCTTGCCTTGAATCTGTAGATCAAATTGGGGAGAGTTATCTTAACAGTATTGGGTCTTTCATTCTATGAATGTGCTGCCTATCTCCATTTATTTAGATTTTCTTTAATGTCTCTCAACAATGTTTTGCATCGTTCATGTTCAAGAGAGCTTGAACATATTTTATTAACTATATCTCTGTTTTACTTTTTAAACATTGTAAATGATATTCTTTATTTAAAAATTTTTTTAAAAAAATTTTATTTATTTTTATTTTTGAGATGAAGTTTTGTTCTTATTGCCCAGGCTGGAGTGCAATGGTGCAATCTCGGCTTACTACAACCTCCGCCTCCCAGGTTCAAGTGATTCTTCTGCCTCAGCCCCCCAAGTAACTGAAATTACAGGTGCAAGCCACCACGCCTGGCTAATTTTTTTTTGTATTTTTAGTAGAGATGGGGTTTTACCATGTTTGTCAGGCTGGTCTCAAACTTCTGACTAGAGGCCATCTGTTCCCAAAGTGCTGGGATTACAGGCATGAGCCACTGGACCCAGCCATTTTTAACATTTTAATGGCTTTTGGAGTACAAGTGGTCTTTGGTTACATGGATGAATTATATAGTGTGAATTCTGAAATTTTAGTGCACCCTTAACCCAAGTAGTATAGATTTTACTCATATGTAGGTTTTTTTTTTTTAAATCCCTCTCCCTTCTGAGTCTCCAAAGGCCATTATACTACTTTGTATAATCACAACTTAGCTCCCATTTACAAGTGAGAACATGCAGTATTTGGTTTTCCATTCCTCAGTTACTTCACTTAGAATAATGGCTTCCAGCTCCATCCAAGT